GAAAGAAAAAGTTGTCAGAAATTAGGAGAGGAAAGAGAAACTTTTGGGTGGGGAGGTGAGAGAAATTAATATTGTGAGGTCAAATTCATAAAGTAACTGTAAGGAATGGAATAAGACACCATTTCCTGCTATAGGGGCAGAGTTGGCTGGAAAAGGACTTGAAGATTCTCACTGTGACATGACCTGACTGAACCCAGGAGCTCAGAGATAAGGCAAAAATCTCCATGATTCCAGGGAAAAAGGAGTCAAATTAATTCTTTGGACTTTCACTCTATTCTTCCTTGCTCAGATGACACCATCTCTGCTGAGGTGCGTGAGGAATCCTCCTCTAATGATTCAGAGGATGCAGAGAGACACCACCAATGAGAATGTAATTCACATCCTTTCTCTGACTCTTGTGTATCCTATTTCTTATCCATCAACTACTACTCTTTTACAGCTCTCTCTTATCAGATTACTCCCTCTTTTTCCAGTTTTTTTGTTTTTTATTTGCATTAGACATTTAAATTTTTGAGCTTTTCAGTGTTTAATAATCATAGATATGTCTATTCATTATATCTACAACCAATTTCACCATCTTTCTGAGACTTGCCTTTGGTTTCCTTTGTCTTTCTTTGGTTCAGAATATTCAACTCAAACTCATGTACACCCAAGTGTCTACATTGAGATATATATTTAGTTCCTCCGTTTTTCTTTGCGTTTCTAGTTATGGGCAACATTTGTGGTGCTAGTGTTTAAGAAACAATGACTATACTCAGAAAAAAGTGGCTCAAGAAACCACTCATGCTTTAACTAGCAGGTATTGGGAGTAACTTTTTTAGAGTAGTGGGGGAGGGCAGTGCTCTTTCTCCATTCTGTGTCAGCAGCACTCATTCTCTTCAGCAGGCCCAGATGAGAAGGGCTCACACTCTGTAGCTCCCAGGCCAGGAGCACACTTTCCTCCAACTCCAGTTCACCATCAGAGCAACAGCTGCTAAAGCCTGCTCAAGTGCGGCTTAGGGAGGGGTGTTGCTTATTGCGCGGAGTGTATTTGAGGAGGTGGGAGGGAAGAGATGGTAGGGAAAAAACAAAGGTGGAGGCAACAAAATGCTTCATAAGAAATGAACTCATTACCTTGCTCATGTAACTGTAACCCCTCTGTACAGTATTTTCATAATAAAAAAACTTATTAAAAAAAAAAGACTTATGAATGCTGTCCAAAGACTGCACTTGGAATTCAGCAGACAAACCTTGGTGCTTCCAAGCTTAAATCAGGAATTACCTGATTTCCTGTTAGGAAACTGGCTGATGAATTCTGACCTCCCACAGGCCTGAGCTACCCTATAGTCTGTTCTCTGTCTCCCCACTCAGAACCCCACTGGGTGCACATTGCTGATTCCTGAAGTGAACTCTGAGGAGACAGAGACATGAATTCTTGAACTTGGAGCTGCCATCTTGCTAGTCCTACACGCAGTATAAATAATTCTAATTTTAAATTGTTTGGATTTAGTTTGCTTTGAAAATGTGTGTTCTCTTTTTAATGGTGTAAATATATTCATGTATTTTATAATAAACTCTATTCCCTTACTGCATGTTTTAATTAAACTCTCTTTTCTAATATACAACTGTCTTAGGAAAAAATATCCTTAAAAAAGAGGTAGCAGTCTATTGATTATAAAGCAATCACCCTAGTGACCTCTTCCATTACCCATTTTCTCCACGTATCTCCTGTTGTGTCTATTGAATGCAGTTACTGTTACTTAGTACTTACCGTTTGTTTTTATGTCTGTGCATCTCTAGGTATTTTGTTGGCAGAATTCTGTTTATTTTTTTATTTTTTTTGGCATATCAAGGTAAGGCTTTTGAAAGATTTATTGAAATAAATTATCTCTGCCTACATATTTACATATCATCCTTTTTCTCAATTGTCAACATCCTAAAATCTTCCAGTTATTTAAAATACATTTTACTGTGCCAATCATTTTAGGTAATACTGGATTCTTTCCCAAAAGATTACCATAAAACTTGCTTTCGAACGTTAAAAAAAATCCAGTGGGACATAAAAGTGACTGTGTGACCTCTGACTGTGGTTCAAATCCTTGAAGTTAACTGGGAAGAACTGGAGAGATGGGATGTAGCCTAGAATTCTGTTTATTCTAATGGAAGTGTTCATAGGAGTAAAATGACTGAGGGCCCTGATGGTTTGGATACTGAGATAGCTTGGCTGGTACCTAATTTATGATCCTTATGTCTCCTTTTATGGATCTTCTGTGCTAAAATATGATTCAGGAGAATATGACTTGCTTTCATTCCTCACTTTCAGTTTTATGAACTGTTTGTTGAAGAATCAGCTGCAAATCCCTGTTTTACTTTCAGAAAGAACAATGGAGTTACAGGTTTTATGATTTGCTTGGTGGTTTTTTTTTTTCATTTTTGGATACCTCAATTGTTTATCTATGCAACTTTCTATGGTTGTCCTCAACTTTTGAAATTTGTTTCAAATCTTTTACTCTTATTTAGTTTCTTTGAAATATGTACCCCCATCATCCTTTTTTGTCTTGTAACACACAACCACTTTGTTTCTGTTGGTTTCACTACTGTTTTGATTTCAGTGTTTGCATGTTCTCTCCTGACTTCTGTTCATTTACCTCTGAGTTTCTGTCCTGATTAAGGATGTCCTTTCCTGCTTTGCATCATGTCTGTATAAGTATTTCTTATGTTCCAGAAATGATGTTACCTTTAAATGTTTCATTAAATCTTAGGACTTTCATGTTTTTAGTGCCATTTATCTCTGCTGATTCACGTTTTTCCATTATATATCTTTGTATGTAAATTATATCAATAGTTACTATCCCTTTGTGATATAAAATTGATTTTAAGAGGATTAGGGTTTACCAAAATGTTTTTAAACTCTCTTGGGCTTTTGCCTGGTATGGACTCAGTCTCTTGTGTTCCCATCTAGGATTCTTTTGTAAACCTTTATTACAGGCATAAAAGTCCCCTCCCCCCCCATTTAGTTTTCTAATGTCACCTTAGTGAATGATAGCCCTGTGTAAACAGGACTGGATATGACTTGTTTCTCACTGGGTCTTTTCTTCTCTGACTAAAGGTGGAATCCACAGCACATGGAAACTGTACATATTCCCAAAGAAACACTGTAGCGCTGAGAAAGGTTGGACTGTCTTGTCAGATTCTGTTCAGGAATCCATCTTGATTCAAGTTTCCTGATGGAAAAGAGATATGAGCTTCTGCCAAGCAGGACTGATAATAAAGGAAAAACTCTGATCATTTCAATTTTTCCCTCAAAACAGCTATGGAGATGTGTGCTTTTGAATATGAGGCCTGGGAGGTGCCTGCCAGTGAGTGTATGTAGAATGTTTGTCAATGTATTTGTGAGAGTCCATTCCACTATAAAATCTATATCCATGTGCAATACTAGTGTGACATTTTACAAAACAATCCATTACCAATATATTCTGTACATAATCATTTCATAGAGTTCTTACTGGAGCTAAATCTAAAGCATGGATCTAAGAGTATTTAATATCCATGTATGAGAGCAATTAATATCCATGTTCCTTAAGTGGTTATGATGCAGAGAAAATGCTCCAGGTGTTTGATCCTGGACAAGGAAAATTTGAAGTTAAGCACAGGCCCATTGTTGATGCTCTAGCTTTAGGTTTACATTCATCATTCCACCATTAGTTTCCTAGCCGTTATATCAGGGATTCTTGCTAATAAACCCATGTTTATCACTGTGATAACTCACAGAGGGATGTTGCTTGAGTTGGGCCCAGTGGTCCCAAAACACAGGGTTTAGTTATCAGAAGATATTCAGCAAGGTAGAGTGAGCATTCTCATCCCCAGAGAACACCTTCATATGCCTCCAACCTGAATCTGACCTAGGATCTGTTTATTGAATTCATCTGGGGTGAAGTGCATCATTGTATTTGGAATTTTGATTAAAATGGGATGAAATTGGGGATAAAGGCTGAAATAATCCAGTAGATATGGGTAAGTTCAAGGGCTTCCCATCCTATGATTGTATGAAACCATTTGCAATGTTCTGTTGAAGGCTTTGGCTCCACAGACCTAGTATGAGTGTGAGAACTCAGAGAAATAAACAAGACAATGTGAGCACGACCATAATGTCAACTGTCACTGTAACTAATGGATCATCACTTTCAAGTAACTTTCTGTTTATCTTTCTAAGGAGGATTTTGTAGAGAATATGATTCCAACAATATCGAAGAGGATGGTCAGAAATATTTCCAAAATCCAGGAAGGATTCAACAAGAGCTGTCAGGTCACAGCTGCCTCTTTGGAGACTGAACAATTGTAGTATGAAATCAGAAAGAAAAAGACAAGATGTGCAGAAGTCTGATTTACTCTTTCCATATTTTTTATTTTCAATGTTTATACATGCAATATAAATTGCAAATATGTATAACATCACATCAATGAAAGGAAAATGATGTAAAATATTTGATAAATAAAATTATTGCATTTAATGTCATCTTAAAAACCCAAATAATCAAATCCCTTAATGATATATAAAACAATACCTGTTCTCACTAGAGAAAAGGTATGTTAACATCAGCTTCTTATAACAAAAATAAGTGAAAGCCCTACCTCTAGTCTGTCTAATTTAGGTCAGGTGATCATGGAAACAAAAAAATGTAGAATTATTTATTTTCTAATCATACACAGTGAAGGAAATAGATAATAGAGTTCTTTTCCACCATAAAATTATTTACACCCATTTATTTATCTAGAAACACTAGCTTGAGAGGTAGTGATATATTCCATTTGTAATAATTTTTCTCCAGAAAACAATCGTATGTCTGGAGAAAATAGTTGAAGAAAATAGTTGCATACATCTTTTCTGTCCTTTTGAGTCTCAATCACTAAGAATTCCACATACTTTGGGATAATCTTGGTCTCCTGAATGGGCTGATGAATGCATTAAAATCAAGCCTCAGAACAACTTCTGTTTCCCAGGCTGTACCTTCTTCCTCTTCTCATGCATTAGTAGTTTCTTGCCAAGTGTGTAAGTCACCTAATTCAGACGACTGATGAAGAGCTGTTAGTCTACTGAAGAAACATGTGCTACCATTGGCGATGCCAAAATTTAAAGGTTCTCTCTTCTTAATGACAATTTTCTGATTTTTCCTTATAGTTGGTGTCATGTCCTTAAAAGAGTCAGGTTCCAGTTGTTCCAAAGTGTTTTGTTGTGATGCCACATTGCCATTCCCTCCTTCAGTCTTTACACTTGTGGGTGCATCTTCATCCCAGGACGTCCACTCCTCCATATCTATATGCTTTGGAACTGAAGAATAATCAACTGTAGTTGGCAAAGTTATTTGGTCTCCACTTAAAATTTTTCCTCTGCCAGACCTACACTTTAATCTCTTTAGGAATGACAATACCATTGCCAAGCAGGTACAAACTTTAAGTAGCTGAAACTGAGTGATGGGCATGGGAGGAATCAAAACCCACTGCACAGATGAGGAAAGCAACGTGAGAGTGTCCAGTTACAGAATCCCACGCCTTGCACTGGCGTCATGTGGACTGCACAAAGTTGCTGGTCATGAGTGCCCTGTGGGCTAGGACTGGGATTTTGGACAAACTTGCCATGAAAGATGAGAGACCAGGCGTGGGACAGCAGGAAGGACTGGTAAATGTCAAGATTTGGGGTTTCCTGTTACCCCACAAGCCCACCTTCCTGTCGTGGCAAAGGCCCTGGGGGCCTGAATCACTCCTCTTTCCCTATTTCGATGAGCAAGTAATAAGAGGTTCTGAGAGTTCTGGCTTTGTAGATGTCTTTTCTTTCTGTGGTAGTGGAAGACTTTTTTCTAGGAAACTAAGTATTTGGTTTACCATGGCAAACACCAAAGCCATGAGTTTTTCTTGGCGGCAGTCTCTGGAAATGATGCACAAGAGATTCTGGGTTGGGTATTAGCAGACCAGGTGGGACAGAATTTGCTTACTCACAAGCCCAACCCTCAAGGCAAAACTGCTCTGGATGGGCCAGAGGATAGTGTAAAGTTGTCCCTCACCCTCTGTAACTTATAACAACTTTGCACTTGTAATAGCTCTGCCTTTTCTATCCTCCCTGGTTTACAAGGCACTGCCAGAGCTGGTGGATTGAAGCTGTTTTCTCTGGGATTATCATGTGTACTCCGTGCCCTGGAGAAGCGAGGGGATAATGTAACCTTGGCTTTTATAACCCTTCACACCTTACCGAAGGCTGAGGACTCAAATTTCCTTACATTTGTGTGGCCTGTGTCAGGCTATCCCAGGTGCCTTTCTGTGGCCACACACAACACTAGAGGATTGTAGGAAGGTGCTGTTGGGCGTACGGTACAACTGCCCTCCCTATTCCACTGATTACACCTTGAAGAACTGACCAGATTCAGGAAGAGGGGTCTTCTGGGCAGCAGGCCCAGGTCACTGCTACTCTCATATTCATGCCTTAAGTAGGAAGCACCAATGTGTATTCCTACTCCAGCCGGGCCCCTACCAGTTCTGTTCCCTGTCTTTACATCAGCCCAGTGGCCTCATGACTCAGTCTATCAATGGGTCTATGGGAACATTGGAAATCCCTCTTATTGACATGGTTCCAGCTCTTTGTCTCACTGATGAAGGGGATTTTGACAAGTCATATTAGCTTTAAACTTGTGTTTGTCATCTCTAATGATGGCATTGGTGTGAGGATTCCATTCAGTATTTTCCATAATCACCTAAAGTACCCCAAGGTATAAACCATTCACAGTTAGAGCAGGTTGTGGTAACCACATTGCCAAGATGGCTCCAGTTAAATCCAGTATTTTTATTTCACTCATTGTGATGAGAATCTGGAGGTTTCTGTCTTCTCTGTCTTGTGTATGATCTCCCCAGACTTCAACTCAGCAACCATCTGAAAATAGAGAAGAAGCCTTTGGTATCCCCTCTGGGATGGATTCTCTGCAAACAATCTGATGGGGAAATCAAAGTGTCTTCACTCCAGGTCTGCTTTGGGCCCAGAATTTCTCTGAATCATTGCCCTGTGCATTCCAAATCCATTTCGGGATTTCCCACATGGATCAAAAGGGTCTCTCTGTAGAGCAAGAAACTGGAGCTGCAGGTCTTCCATGTCTGTCACTGCTAGAGGGGCCACAAGAACCCATCTTGAGAGACTCTACACTGTATTCCACTGTGTCTGGCTCTGATCTGAACTTCCCTGACGATACTGTTATTATGCCATGAACAATATGGCCAATTACAATTTTGTGCCAGAAGTAGAACTTCCTCCAGCAGACAAAGATGAATCATGGAGCCAGGTCCACCATTTTTCACTTAAGCATTCCATGTAGGGATGTTTTCCCTTGGTCTGGCTGGCCAAGGGATAAGCAGTTACATACTGGAGAGGCCTAGGCCAGAGAATACCTTCCATTTACCTCAAGTCTAGTGCACTGAGAATCATGGATGCACACACCTATCCTGATGCCAAAATGATACTGGCATTGGATATCCTGACCTGACCTCCCTTGGTGTTATAGGTACCCTCTACTCAGGGTTGATCCAGATAGGGTACTGCCCATCACAACCAACCAGGGGTTCAGAGACCATGCAGAAATGCTTTTCCTAAGCCCCACTCTTCACCCCACAAGGGCAGACAGTCAGATTGGGTCACTATCATGCTAGTTGCAATGCCATTCAAAATGGAAACACCATCCTGGGATGCAGGAGACCACGGAGATTTGCATTTGTGGAAGCCAGGCTCCTGGGTCTGTTTATAGATTAAAGCAAGTTTTGTTGTTTTATATAGGAAATGTTAGATATGAATATTGATATTAAAATTCTGTTCTTCCAGTAAAAAATTAGAATTGATTGTAGTTATATCTGGAGGATCCACACAACCCCAGAACAATGGAAAAGATTCCTGATTTAGGAAGGACCTCACTGTTGTGGGGAAGAGTATCCTTAATCTGTCCTCCAATTATATTGCAGACTAAGATTACAGGAGGAGTTTGACTAGGAGAAATGAAACAGGCACTATTCAGGAGAAAGGAAGCAAGCAATGGAGGGAATTGGATGTGAAAAAGTTCTGGACACAGTGACTTTCCCTTAGAGGAAGAGAATGTCATATATATTTTCTTCTGGTCATATTGGTGGAATTGGATGGCCAGGAAAGTCTGGAGATTAGAGTCTACTTTCCTCATTATAGCAGAGAAGCATTCTAGGCCTTGAGAAGGGAGTGTAAATGAATACGGTGATACATTCCATAAAGGGGGAGCAGCATGGGTCACCTCAACTCTTTCCTGTCCTGTCAGCGTCATCATAACCACCACTTATGGCCACTGAGAAGATGTCCTCTCCAGTAGCAAAACAAAGCAGCTCCTACCTGCAAGCCACTGATTTCCCTTTCATGCCATTTCAAAAAATCTTTTCTCATTGTTATTTCTGAGCATCTACTTTGAGCTCTTGACATTGCTTCTTTCCATCTTATGAGTTTCACCCTGAAGGTTCTGTTCTTGTCTGGACAATGCAAATACTTTGAACACATGTCCAACCCTCTTCCTTTTTATCCATTCCTGACATCAGGTTGTACCTCTGAATTATTCTGAGCAACCCCTAATGGTTAACTGGAACACTGGGCCGTGAGTCACTATACCTGGGTATGGCTTGCTGCAGGGGACACTAGGTTCTGCTCTGAGTGCCTCACATAATGTTCGCCAGTACCATTTATTCTCTTTTCTTCACAGGTCAAGGAATCCTTTTTTTTTTTTTTTTTGAGTCCATAAAGAGAACTAAGAATATCCACGGTTTTGAAAAAGAGGAAGAACAATGTGAGTGTGCAGGGGAATTGACAGAATGTAAGGTAAGGCCAGGAAGTTCATCCCTTACCAATGTGTGTGGCAGACCAATGTAGGGGGGTCCTGACCACTTTCTCTCAGGCCACCTTGGAAAAGAATGAGACAGGCCCAGGCTCCCTTTCATGCAGGCAGAGTAGCCATTAGCCTCAGCTTGGCAGCCTGGTGGGCACCTCAGAGATTGTGACCTCCAGTAGAAGACAGTACACAATTTCAGACCAGTTTCGACTGCTCAAGCATGGGTGGAGTCCTGGGATCTGGGATGAGCTTGTATAGACTTTTCATATGCATGTAAATGTCAAGCACGTATTAAAACCAGTGGAAATTCAGGGCAATTCTGATGTGGGATTTTCTTTTTTAAGATGGAATTTTGAAGTCTTTATTACTCAGTTAGCAGGCTACCTGCAGCAAGTTGTTACAAAAGCCTGCAGCCCCTAAATACACATAACACAGCTGGGAAACAGGCCAACAAACCAACAATACCAACAAACCAATTTAGCTTCAGTGGAGAGCTGAACTGGGATGCCATGATGACTGGAGGCTAGCCAGTAGACAGGACACAGGATGGGATCACGGAGACACACATAGCATGGTGCAATGCCACCTGGGCTGGTCCGGGCCTAAATAGTGCCAGCGCGGGGGCAAGCCCACAGAAAATTCCTAGTCCCAGGCACTGGTCTGACAGGTTTAATAACCTATCAGCTAAGTGCCTGACTGTCTCCAGGGATCTGGGCACGCCATCACCTGGGAGGCAGGGACATCTCCTTCCCCAGCATGAAGACAAGATGCCAGACCCTACCATCTACCACATGGCCAATATGGCACTGGCCAGACCTAATCTCCCTAGTTCATTTCCCATTTTTTCTTATGTACATGAAATCAAATAATTGATTTTTCTGTAAGAGGGTCGAGTATTTTCCCTGGGCTGTTTACTCCTGTAACTTAAGGAGTCTCCAGAAGTTAAAGTTGGATCCATATGGTTGGTACCCATATAGTCAGGGACTTTGAGCTTTCTTTCCCAGGTCAGGCAGGGTATGATATACAAATCTATGTCCTACAGAAACAATGTCCTTCTAATGTGGGATATTGGTACTTGTGGATATATTGTGAATATGGTTATCCTTTCCTTGTGTATATTATGCTTTCCACATTGGTAAATAAATACCATTTATTACATTTTAAATATTAATAGTTCTTTTTTATTGTGAAAATACTGTACAGAGGGGTTACAATAATAGTTCTTATATTCTTTTTATACAAGCATGAGGTACATGAAACCATGCTATTCTCATTATATTTATCAATATCATTTCACAGTGTTTTTTTTTTGAGAGGCATAGGCAAGGTTTGATGCTGTTAGAGAATTGTTTTCACAAAATAGAGATCTCTAGGAAGCTGTCCTATTTGAGATATGGGGTTTATCATGGATTACATACAGAGTAGGGGTGTAGAGCAGGTTTTAGTGTCACCTTTCTCATTACAGTTCCTATTTCTTAGAAGCCACATGCGTTGTTGCATGTGTTCCTTTTTATCCCAGAAAGATATGACCTCCCCATCCCCATCTTCTCTGCTTCAAGAACACTGTCAGGAAAGCAGCTCCTGAGGTTACCTAGATGTATACTAGG